GAACCGAAGGAGGTGGTGCAGGCAACGATGTCGAGGAGGCGGCGGATGTGTGCGACTGCTGACTCCTCCGTGTAGTCCTCTGCGAGGAAATGGAAAAGAAGAGTTAGTAAGTGATTTGGTGCGGAAGGGAATAGGATATAGAGTAGAAGAAAGGGATTTTGGGGCGTTGGATGGAGTTTAAACCTTCGGCAATGGACAGGTGGCAGGGTTTGAGTGAGACGATGTCAACGGAGTCCTTGAGGCGAGTTCCTCGCACCTGCAGCCGATAAATCAGTTAATATTCTTGGTAGTTATATTATGGATTTCATGTTGTTAAGAAGGAACAAATATAAGTGTGTCCCACTGAAAATACATATTTTTTGGATCCATTTTTTTAAAGAAAAAGATAAATTAAGTTTTCTTGACATTTTTTTAATATTAAAAAAATCTAATAATAAGTATATAATAAATTTAATAAAATTAAAATTTAAATATATTTTATATATTTAATAATTATAATTAAAAATTTTAGTATTTTTAATGATAAAATATCTTAATTTTTCATTTTTTTTTAATTACATGCTGCCACTCGAAAATTTAACGGTACTAGCTTTTAAGAAAATTTAGTAGTGATGGCAATAAATAAATAAATACTAGTAAATTAGAAACTAAAGAATTTTACAGATACAATACATTATTAAGTTGACTACATAATAAATGTAATAATTAATTAATAAATAATTGTTTTAATGAAACTCTTCTCTATATATTAATAACATTTTAGTAATTTTCTATAAATTGCATCTTTGTTGTGTAGTATAATTTGAAAAATAAAAAACTTTTTTTTATCTTAGTTGCACAATGAGAGGTTACAATCTCTTATCCCTTATCACACCTTACATACATGCCATACGACTCAAATTTAAAATCTCTTACTTTTAACAGAATAAGATAATCACTTAACTACTTAAATTCATTCACAAAAATATAAAACTCTTAAATTTTATCTCTATGTTGATTTATTAAGGTGTAAATTTTGTTTAGAAATTATTAAAAAAGTATTGTAAAATTTTTTCTAAAATATTTTCAAATCTACATAAGAGAAAAGAGAAAGATTTACTTATTAACAATTCCTAAAAAA